GGAGGAACCAGAAAAACGGCGCCAACATGGTCGCTGATTCGTCCGACAACAGCCCGAAGGGCAACGGCGGTGCGGAGAAGAAGAAGGAGCGCACCGCGGGCCAATTCTTCCATATGGGAGACAAGGGGGAGCAAGGAGACGCATCTGCTAAGGCTGGAGCAGAGCTGCACCCCCTGGACTATTGGGTGTTGGACACAGGCGCTGCTTGGACAATGACGCCGCGCAAGGACCTGCTGGACGACGTACGCGCTGCACCGATTAATGAGGTGTGCTCTGCCTCTGGACACATGTTGAAGGTGGCTGGTGCGGGACGAGCTGCATTTAAGGGAGCAGATGGCAAGCCGGTGGTGCTGCACGACGTTCTCCTCGTCCCCGACCTGAAGGCCAACCTCATCTCCCTCCGTAAGCTTGGCAAGGCTGGGGTGAACACCAACACGGATGGGGCTCGCACTTATAAGGGGAAGCTGGGCAATCGGGTGCTTTGGGATCTGCACGAGAGCAAGGACGTGTACAGATCTATGTGGCAGCTGCCGGCGCTGGCGTGGCACGGTGGGGGGCAGGCTGGAGAGGGGTCTGCATCCCAGGGGGAGTGCAACGCCGTTGGAGGGGTTGGTGTGAAAGTGTCGGCCAGATCTGGGGAGACGGATTGGGCAACGGCACACCGACGCTTGGGGCATGTGGCAATGCCTTTGCTGAAGCAGCTGGAGAAGGATGGAGCCGTTAAGGGCTTGAAGCTGAACGGACAACCACCCGATGATAACTGTGAAATCTGTTTGCTCTCAAAGTTTACCCGTTTCCCCTTCCATAGTGTGGCTGGCAGGAGCAAGAAGCCGTTGGAGCTGGTCCACATGGACTTGGTGGGGCCGCTGCCGGTTCAGGGACACAAGGGGGAGCGGTACTTCCTGACCATTGTGGATGATTGGAGCAGGCTTATGTGGGCATATCCGCTGAAGCAGAAGGACCATGCCGCCTCTACGATACGGGAAGATTGGCTGCCATTCGTGGAGAAGCAAGCGGAGTGTGTGGTGAAGCGGATTAGGACAGATCGGGGTGGTGAGTTCCTTGGAGCTGAGATGACGGCCTGGCTCAAGAAGCAGGGCATCCAGAGGGAGCTGACCACGGCTTACACCCCACAGTCTAACGGTGTAGCAGAACGGGCGAACCGGACAATTCTGGAGACAGCTAGGGCGCTGCTCATAGAATCTGGGCTGGGCAACTTGATGTGGCCCCATGCTGTTCGGCACGCTACCGTCGCTAGGAACAGGGTACTCACAAAGGTTGGGGATGACTCGTGGGTGCCGTTGGAGAGGTGGCTTGGGAGGAAGCCGCCGGTGGACATGCTGAGGGTGTTCGGTTGCATGGCAGTCGCCCACGTTCCCAAGACCTACCGCAGTAAGTTGGGGGCGAGTGCAATCTGGTGTGTGCATTTGGGGCTGGCAGCTGAAAGCAAGGGATGGCTGCTGTGGGAGCCTTCCAAGGGTGTGTTGTTTGACAGCAGGGATGTGAAGTTTGTTGAGGGCATGATGTATGGGAGCTGGGAGAAACAGCCGGAGGCCAGGGTGTCCCAGCAGATGGAGCAGATCACCATGCAGCTGGACCTGACTCCTAGTGTGTGGGAGGAGGGAGAGGAGGCAGCTGCAGAGGGTGGTGATAAAGAGAAGGTGCAGGAGGCACCTGCTGGTGGAGGTGATGGTGTGGAGATTAGCGGTAGCACTAGTGGAGCTGCTGGATCCGAGGGAGGAGAGCAGCAGCAGGGGAAAACTAAGAAGCCGAAGGGTGTTATTATGAAGGGATGGGAGACACCCGTCTCCAGGCCAGGACGTACACGTATGGCTACTAAAAAGCTGACTGCAGGAGCTGATGTAGCGGAGCAGCAGCTTGGGACCGAGGAGGCATTGCTGATTCTACCGCATGGCTATGACCCGGATGAGGAGGATCAACCTGCGTACTGTTTTCTTGCCCCTGCACCAGAGGAACCAGCTAGCATGGAGGAGGCATTAGCTGGACCAGATAGGGACAAATGGCTAGCTTCCAGGGATGCTGAGTACCAGAGCCTGCTGGAGAATGGGACTTGGGAACTAGTGGTGCTGCCTGAGGGAAAGAAAGCGGTACAATGCAAGTGGGTGCTAAGGATCAAGACTGACGACAAGGGGCAGGTCACCATCTACAAGAGTAGGTTGGTGGCTAAGGGGTTTATGCAGAAGGAGAAGCGGGACTTCAATGAGATCTTTGCTCCCACTGCCAAACCCCCTACCCTTCGTGTCTTGTTGGCAGATGCAGCCGTTAGTGGGAAGTTCATTATCCAGATGGACATATCAACGGCATTTCTCAACGGGATTTTAGAGGAGGAGGTGTTCATGACGCAGCCACCTGGGTATGAGGATGGTACGGGCAGGGTGTGCAAGCTGAAAAAGTCCATCTACGGCTTGAAGCAGGCGCCACGCTGCTGGTACCAGAAGTTGGCAGCTGTTTTAGAGGAGATGGGATTCAGGACCAGCAGCTGTGATGAGAGCCTCTTTCTCAAGGGGGAGGGGGAGAAGCTGGTGCTGTTTCTGGTCTATGTGGACGACATTCTTCTCTTTAGCAGCAGCATGAAGGAGATCCAGAAGGTGCAGCAGCAGCTGATGGAGAACTTCAAGTGCAAGAACCTTGGGGAGGTAAAGTACTACCTCGGGATGCACGTGGAGAGGGATCTGGATCACAGGTGGTTGAAGCTGCACCAGGAGAAGTTCATCAAGGAGCTTGGGGAGAAGTACGGAATTGAGAATGAGCGCAAGGTTGCAACTCCCCTGCCAGCAGAATTCAAGCTTGTGAAAGCTGCAGAGGATGAAGGGGTTGAAGCCGAGGAGCAGCAGCAATTTCAGTCCTTGGTGGGCAGCCTCTTGTATGCAGCAGTTCACACGAGACCCGACATCTCTTTCTCGGTTGGGCAGCTGGCTAGGGTAGTGCAGAATCCATCAGAGGAGCAGGTGGATGCAGCTGAGCGTGTGGTGAAGTATCTGAACTCTCACCCAAGCATTGGAGTTCAATACTCCGCATCTGCACAGGTGAAGCAGAAAGGGGTTGAGGTGCTGAAAGAGAAGGGGGAGAGGCTTGGAGAAGGCAAGCTTTTTCTTACTTGCTTTACTGATGCTACGTGGGCCTCTGAGAAGGAGGATTCCTCATCTGTGGGAGGATACATCTGCGTAGTTGGGGGAGGACCGGTTAGTTGGAGGTCAAAGAAGCAGACGGAGACAGCACTCTCTTCCGTGGAATCAGAGTACATGGCGATGTTCCATGGGGTGAAGGAGGTGATTTGGCTGAGGAGGCTGTTGGAGGAGATTGGCCAGGAGCAAAAGGTTGCTACGCCGCTGTTTTGTGATAGCAAGGGAGCTCTTGGGATGGCCAGGAACGCTGTGCTTCATGGGCTGAATAAGCACATGCGTATCAAGTGGCACTGGCTGCGTAAGGAGGTGAAGAGGGGGACGGTGAATCCGATCTACATCAAGACTCACCAGCAGCCAGCAGACTTCCTCACCAAGAGGCTTGCGGATGAGCCTCATTGGCGTTGTGTGCGCATGAGTGGAATGAGCATGAACTAGTATGGAATGATGGGGATGCAGCCGGCAGGCTGAGGGGGAGTGTGTTGGGTGCAAATTGACATTGCACGACATCCTGCCGTCTGTTTGTACGAGTATGCGTGTGCGAATGCATTTGCGTGTGAATGGTATGTTTGTCTGTTTGCTTGCTTTCGCAATTTTCGCTTGAAGCATTTGCAGGTACTCGCAAAATGTGCGCTTCGGCATAACATTGTACGCGCTATGAACAGTACAAGCAGAAAGGACGAGCTCGCAAAGGAACCCAAGATGGAAGCTTTGCGGTTCAACTTACTTGATTGCGCAGATTCAGTTCTATCCAACTCGAAATTGTACTGTTTTGTTTGGTTGACTATAGTGTAGCAGGGCAGGCACTATAGGGGTACAATTTAGGTGAAGGTTGGATGTTGTTTGTCTGTATCTGCATGCTACAGGGCCAGGGGAAACCAGCGGAACCAGCATTTGGCTGGTTGGGCAAAGACAAAACAGGTTCTGTTTTTAGGACCTGAACCTGGTTGTTGTTTTTCCCAGGTTGGAAAAACAGAACCAGAGGTTGTTCACCAACCTATCACCTGCTATTTTGTCCAGCCAGGTTGGTTCTGTTGCTTGGAATTATTTGGGATCATCCCTGGTTGTTCCCAGGTTGATTCCCAAGGTCCTTGCTAGCTAGAGCTATTTATTCCTTCTCTGTTTGTACCTGAATATAGTGAAATTGATTCAAGCGAATTCCTTCCTTGCTGGAATTTCTTGTCTACGCGGTGCGACGGCGGAATGCTACCCGAGTCAACGCTAGTACGCTAGCACTCCAACGCTAGGCTAACGCTGTCCGAGCCATAACTTCGTAATGGCAGAACTTTTCGCGAGGCAACTTGGCTTATTTTTAAGCTCTTAGAGTGAGCTTCGATATAGGAAATTCTCAGCTTAATCCGATCGACGGTCTGCACGATACGCTGCGCGACGTTCAAGGTACTCTTGCTGTTTTGACTAAGTCCCTCTTGATCCCTCTCTCTACAAACTCGGACCCGAGGATAGGGGCTGGTCTTGTACCAGGCACCCAAGGACCCTTGGAGGTGACCCCGAGGAGAGGTTTTAAGTGTGATAAAGTCTTAATAGCTTGAGTTTATTAGGCCCTTACACCAACAGCTTTTGACGCTGAGGGTCGGACCATTGACTTTGACGTCTGGGTAGATGACCTGCAGATTTTCTTACAGTGCGATAGGGCTGACGGTCTCTCCCTCTTTGACCTCACCTCGGGTGCCTCCTCCTGTCCCTGCGTCTAGTCAGGTAGCTGCGTCAGGTCAGGTCTTTGCTTCAGCGTTCAGGTCTGGTCCTCAGTCTGCCCCCTTCTCGTGTTGCCTCCTGTCTCACGAGACTCTCCTGTGGCACCACCGCCTTGGTCACCCCTCCCTGCTTCGTCTCTGAGGCATGGCCTCCCGTGTCCTTGTCTCTGGTCTCCCTCGGTCTCCCCCTCCCCTACCTCCGGGGCCTGGCCCTACCTGCGTTCCCTGTGTCAAGGGGCGGCAGCGGGCTGCCCCTCACTCCTCGGAGTTTCCTTTGACAGAGGCCCCGCTGCAGACGCTTCACATGGACGTGTGGGGCCCGGCCCGCGTCCGTAGACAGGGTCACGAGCGCTACTTCCTACTGGTGGTTGTCGACTACTTGCGTTACACCACACTCTTCCCCTTGCGCAGCAAGGGTAATGTCACTGAGGTGTTGATCAACTAGATCTGCGAAGCTCGTCTCCAGCTCAGGCAGAGCTTCGGCTCGGACTTTCCTGTTCTGCGTCTGCACTCTGACAGAGGAGGAAAGTTCTCCTCTCGCCTTCTGCAAGCCTACTGTCGTGCACGAGGCATCCGCCAAACCTTCACGCTTTCGGACTCACCACAGATAAATGGGATTGCTGAGCGCCGCATTGGCATAGTCATGGACGTCGCCCGTACGTCCATGATGCATGCGGCTGCCCCCCATTTTCTGTGGTCGTTTGCGGTTCCGTACGCAGCGTATCAGATCAACCTTCACCCCAGGGTCTCCATGCCGGAGACCTCCCCAGCTTTGCTGTGGACGGGGAAGGTTGGCGATGCGTCTGCGTTCCGTGTCTGGGGATCTCGGGCGTTTGTCCACGACTTATCTGCGGACAAGCTGTCCCCTCGTGCTGCTCCTTGCGTCTTCCTTGGCTTACCCCCTGACGCACCACGGTGGCAGTTCTACCACCCCACCTCTCGCCGTGTTCTGTCCTCCCAGGATGTCACGTTTAACGAGTCGGTCCCCTACTACCGCCTCTTCCCCTACCGCACTCCGTTGTTTCCCCCACCACCGCTCTTCCTTGTTCCAGGTCCCCCCCCGGTAGACCCCCTCCCCCCCCAGGGTCCTGCCCCTTCAGGTGTGTCCCAGGTAGACGCAGTCGAGCTTGTCGAGGTTTACTGGTGACTCTGGTGCTGAGCAGGTGGGTGCTACGCGTGGGGGTACTGAGCCTCCGGGTACTACTGCTGGGGGTGCTGAGCCTGGGGGTGCTGAGACTGGGGGTGGTGAGCCTGGAGGTGCTGAGCCTGGGGGTACTACGCCTGGGGGTGCTGAGCCTGGAGGTGCTGAGCCTGGGGGTGCTATGTCTGAAGGTGCTGAGTGTGGGGGTGCCACGTTTGCAGGTGCTGAGCCTGGGGGTGAGGAGCCTGCGGGGGCTGGGCCTGGAGGTTCTCCGGGTGCTTTGTCTTGGCGGGGGCCACTCTCTCCACAGGAGCTGCGCGAGTGGTTTACCCGGCGCTGGAGGCGTGCTGCTAGAGCTGGAGTTTCTTCGGCTGCTGAGGTGCTGGTGCCACGGGTGCCAGAGGTGCTCGTACTGGGAGTGCTGGAGCTGCTGGGCCTGTGGGTGCAACTGGAGCTGGAGCTCCTGAGGGTGTTGGCGCTGAGGCTCCTACTGTTGGTCCTGGAGGCGGTCCTACTGGGGTTGCTACTGGTGCTGCTGGACGTACTTGAGCTGGAGGTGCTGTTGGCGCTGGTGCTGCTGTTGGCGCTGGTGCTGCTGCTGGGGGTACTGGTGCTGTCCCTGCTGTGTCTAGAGTCACCACGCGGCCTCGGCTGTACTTCGTTCCACTCCTTGAGCAGGTTCTTGGTCTCCCGCCTTCTACTGGTCCTCCTCCTCCCTTAGAGTGTCCGCAGCCTGTCCCGTCCCAGTTACAGTTACAGCCGGCCTCCCCACTGCCTGCTCCTTCTCCCTACAGTGGTCCTACATGAGGTCTTGCTGAGCGTCGTGAGCCTGCGTCTTGCCCTGCGTCGCGTGTCCGTGCTGCTCGCACTAGTGGTCGCGGTTCGCGTCACCATCCTCCTCCTGTCCCTGGCACGCACCGGATGTCTCTGCGTCCGTCCACTGCTCCTCTGCGTGTTCCCTTGCCTTCTCCTCCTCAGTCCTCTCTTCCTGCTCTTGCCGACCCGGAGTCGGACTCTCTTTGTGCTGCCAGTCCTACTGTCACGCGTCTCCTTGCTACTGTCGTCACTGACCCTTCCTTTGAGTCCACTGCTGCGTCTGCCCTCGTTGCTGAGCTAGTCGACTTTGCTGCTCGCTGTCGTCTCGACTACGCTGCTAGTCTTTTTGCTGAGTCTGCGTCTGTCTATCCTCCGTCCGTCGAGGGTGAGTGTGCCCTTCACACGGACGTCCTTGAGGACAGGTAGGAGGAGTTCGAGTGTCTGGCTGCTGCTTCACCTCATCTCGTGTCCGTACTACTTACCCCTGAGGGAGACCCGGATGCGCTTGACATCCCGACTTCGCGCTCTTACGCGGAGGTGATAGAGGGTCCCTACTCCTCTAAGTGGCAAGCAGCTATGGACGCAGAGATGGCTTCCTGGAAGTCCACAGGCACCTACGTTGACGAGGTTCCCCCACCTTGGGCGAACATCGTCAATGGCATGTGGATTTTCAGGGTGAAGCGGCCGCCAGGCTCTTCACCTGTCTTCAAGGCGCGGTACGTGGCTCGTGGCTTCAGTCAGCGGCAGGGAGTTGACTACTGTCATACCTTCTCTCCCACCCCGAAGATGACCACTCTTCGGGTGCTACTACACATAGCCGCTCAGCGGGACTACAAGCTTCACTCTCTTGACTTCAGCACTGCTTTCTTGCAGGGTAGCCTCTACGAGGAGATCTGGCTGCGCCGCCCACTTGGCTTCACAGGGACTTTTCCTCCTGGCACCCAGTGGAGCCTCCAATGGCCACTCTACTGTCTCCGCTAGGCACCGCGTGAGTGGCACGACACACTAAGGACTAAGCTTGCGGCTCTTGGGTTTGCTCCCTCTACTACTGACCCGTCGCTGTTTCTGCGCACCGACACTTCTTTGCCGCCGTTCTACACCCTTGTGTACGTCGACGACTTGGTCTTTGCCACAGCTGACACTGCTGGACTCGCCCACGTGAATTTCGAGCTGCACAAGAGACATACGTGCACAGACCTGGGTGAACTGCGCAGCAATCTTGGCTTGCAGATCACCCGGGACAGAGCACGCCGCACCATTAACCTGACTCAGTCACACATGGTGCAGCAGGTCCTTCAGCGCTTGGGCTTCACGTACTCCTCGCCTCAGGCCACTCCTCTGCCTACGCGCCACTCGCTCTCAGCTCTGCCTTCGGATGAGTCAGTAGAGTCGAGTGGCTCGTACCTAGAGCTTGCTGGTTACCTCATGTACCTGATGACCTGCACACGACCTGACCTTGCATACCCTCTTAGCATCTTGGCACGCTATGTTGCTCCTGGGAGACAGCGACCAGAGCACATGGCTGCAGCGAAGAGGGTGTTGCGCTACTTGTGCAGTACGTCGGGCACGGGGCTTGTGCTTGGAGGGCAGAGTCCAGTGGTCCTTCCTGGGCACGCAGATGCTTCTTGGGCAGACGACCAGGCTACGTAGCGGTCATCACAAGGTTACACCTTCAGCCTCGGTTCTGGCTCTATTTCGTGGCGGGCTACCCGCTCGTCTTCTGTTCTTGGCTCCATTTGTGAAGCTGAGATCTACGCCGGGGCCATGGCTGCACAGGAGCTTCGCTGGCTCACCTACCTGCTGACTGACCTTGGAGATCTGCCTCGTTGTCCTCAAGTGCTGTACGTAGACAACAAGGCCATGCTGGCCTTGTGTCGAGAGCAGAGACTGGAGCACAGAAGGAAGCAAATAGCTCTTCGCTACTTCCTTGCTCGTGAGCTACAGCAGCTTGGTCAGCTGCGTCTTGCGTACGTGGCCTCAGAGGCCAACACTGCTAATATCTTCACCAAGGCACTTGCGCCTTGTGATCATCAGCGCTTGTGTACTCAGCTGGGTCTTGTGCGTGCCTTGCCTCACTTGCTCACCTCTTGACCTTGCTTGTACTGTTACATATATGTATACGCCTACTCTTGCTTGTCTAGCCTTTTATATATATGTGTACTCCTGCATGTGAACTGGCCTTGTGGCCTTGAACTTGTGCTCGGAATGTGTGGTGACGTTGTGATCCACCCTGAGCTTGCTTTGTTTTGCTTTGCTTGACTGGTCTTGTGACCCCTTGTTCTCCCCCACTTTGCCTATGGGGGTGTGTCAGATTTATATGACATAGCTACTGTAGGCTATACTGGGGTAGCATATATGGGGTAGAGATTTCTAGGGGTTTATATTTGTACCCTACTTTCACTTAGTCTTTTCATTCCCCGTTCTAGTTTTCTCACCCCTCTTAACCCTTGTCTCAATTGGACCTCTCACACTTCACCCGTGCGTTGTTGGCGATAGTTCGCCACGCCTAGTAATCATTACGCAGTTGCATGCTGGCCTTCTGCCGCGCAACTGGGCAGCCTTTCCTGCCTTGCTGACTAGTGCACGGTTGGCTCTTAGCTGTGCTGTGTCCACCGTGCCATTGTTATGTTTTGTCTGGCTTGATGCACGCTTGAAATGGATTGTTCGTGCCAGCTTCCCATGACGTCACCGGCAGCTGCCAGCCTTCTAGTGACTTCGACAATGTTGCCAGCTTTGCAGGCAACAAGCCTCTTATTCGTTCAACTTATATGCCTCGCTTCCACGCGTGGAAAGGTCCACGTCATTAAACCTGTTGCTCTGTCCTTGTTCGCTGAACAGTTCTTTATCCAGCTGCGCAGTTGTCGCGTTGCTATGGCTGGTATGTTTTTTGGGACCATACTTAGCCAGGTACACAACACCGACGTGTGCAATGTTTTGGCATATTTTACAGAAACATTTGTTTCGAAAGCAGAAACAAAGCACCCTGTGATTTCTTGACTTCGCATGTTCTGTGTAGTGCTGTTCGGTACTTATCTAAATGACTCGCAACAAAGTTAAGCGATGTTATTTTCTCGTGCACTAGCGTTTAACGTTCTGGTCTATTCCTCGTGGGTCCTCGATTGAAGTCCGTGGTGAAGGGATTGCTTGACTGCTTTCCCAAAGTGTGGGATGGGTGTAATATTTGGCTTGGGAAATAGCTCGGGGTGAACCTTCACGCTTTCAACACTACCCATATAAACATGCTTCGTAGTCCTGTTCCTACTGCCAGTGCTGCTCATCTCGTCTCCTACCAGAGCAGGTGGTCCTCGTTTCCAACCAGCCGAGCTCCTTCTCATTCCAAAACTTCCATCTAGTCCCACTATTTTTTGCATCTTTTTCAACTACATACCCTATGCCTGTTAGTGGGCACTTTAGGAAACATGGCGTTAGGCGTGCCTGCAGAAATTATGGAATTGCAGCGCAAGAGATCCCGAACCTCGAATAGGCGTCTCGAAGGCTTTGAGCTTGGTAGCCCAACCATTAGAGCTTGGAGAACTTCAACTCCTGCCCAGCAGGTGGGTACCCCGAGCGCTCGGCCTGCGGAACCCTCGCCTCTACAAGACCTTGAGGCACTTGATGCCGAGCACACCACGGACAATGGAGTTGCCTCTCCCCACCACGCTTCGAATGCCACCTTACCAGTAGCGCAACGTGGTGAGGCGGCAAATGTCATTGCATCTGCTGGAAATGGCGGTACGTTTTACTGAGTACTCGTCTGTTTGTGTCAGTGTTTTTTTCGTTGTTGTTTCAACCGGCCTTGTTATGAATAGTTAAGTTTCATAACATTATGCTCTAATTAAATCTCCCTTTTATTTTCAGGCGTATGCTCGTCTGATCGTGATGTTCATCACCCTAAGGCCAATTCCTACAACCACATCGACCATGCCATACGCGGCGAGCTGAAAGAATTTCGCGCTCCGATGCTGCGAATTGAAAACCGGCTTCATGTATCGGATGAGATCCACCAGACACTGGCTTCTACTATCAAGAATCTTCTCGAGATTGTTCATCAACCGAGTTGGTGCAACGAGAAAACAATGGAGGAATGTTTCATGTTTTTCTTTTGTTTGGTTGTTATTTGCTGCTAGTTTTAATACTTTCTACTAACCGTGTTGTTCTTGTCAAACTTATATGCTATAGTTTGTGTAGGTTGTAGTGGGATAGACAATATGGGGTACAACATTTCTAGGTTTACCCACGTGTACCCACCTGCTTGCTAGTTCATCCATTCCTCATTCTTCACATGGCATAGAGCAGGTTCCCTAGTGGGAACACTTCCTTGGGCCCACCACTGAAAGTTTCCTTTCTGACCGGAGCGCCAGACGCTCCTGCCCGAGCCGCGCCTTTTTCGCCGCCCTTTCCAGGCCCCCTAGTGGCCCCTAGCAGCCTCGTCGCCGCCCCTCACGCGGCCCCGTTGCCGCCCCTAGCGGACCCGTCGCCGCCTTTCACCCTACGCGGCAACGTCGCCGCCCCTACGCGGCCCCGTCGCCGCCCTTACGCGGCCCCGACGTCGCCCCTAGTGGCCCCGTCGCCGCCTCTCACCCTACGCGGCCCCGTCGCCGCTCCTATGCAGCCCCATCGCCGCCCCTAGCGGCCACGTCGCCACCCCTATCGGCCCCGTCCCCGCCTTTCACCCTAGGCGGCCCCGTCACCGCCCATACGCGGCCCCGTCGCCGCCCCTAGCGGCCTCGTCGCCACCCCTAGCGGCCCCGCCGCCGCCTCTCACCCTACGCAGCCCCGTCGCCGCCCCTAAGCGGCCCCGCTGCCGCCCCTACGCGGCCCCGTCGCCGCCCCTAAGCGGCCCCGTTGCCGCCCCTACGCGGCCCTGTCGCCGCCTCTACTCCGCCCTGTCGCCGCCCCTAGCGGCCCCGTCACCGCCCCCCCCTTCCTACGCGGCCCCGTCGCCGCCCACTACACGGCCCGTTGTCGCTCCCCTCCCTAAGCGGCCCCGTCGCCGCCCATAGCGGCCCCAACGCCGCCTCTACCGAGCAGCCCAGCAGCTGAGCCGCCCAACAGCAGAGCCGCCAAGCCGCCCAGAAACCGAGCCGCTGAGCCGCCCAGCAGCCGAGCCGCCCAGCAGTTGATCCGCCGAGCCGCCCGACAGCCGAGCCGCCCGACTGCCGAGCCGCCTAGCAGCCGAGCCGCTGAGCCGCCGAGCCGCCCTGCCGTCGAGCCGCTCCTAGTCCTACCGGCACGCCTCGGCCCTACTTACTCGGACTGGTGAGCTCACTCCTTGCTAGGCCGCTGCAGTCATGGCTACCCCCAGTGTTCTTACCTTTGATCTTGAGGGTCGTGCTGTTGACTTTGAGGTTCGGGTCGATGACCTCCAGCTGTTCCTCCAGTGCGATAGGGCAGACGGCCTCTCCCTGTTCGACCTCACCTCTGGTGCCTCCCCTGCCCCGCCTGCTACTGCTGTTGGGTGCAAATTCACATTGCACGACATCCTGCCGTCTGTTTGTACGAGTATGCGTGTGCGAATGCATTTGCGTGTGAATGGTATGTTTGTGTGTTTGTTTGCTTTCGCAATTTTCGCTTGAAGCATTTGTTGGGTGCAAATTCACATTGCACGACATCCTGCCGTCTGTTTGTACGAGTATGCGTGTGCGAATGCATTTGCGTGTGAATGGTATGTTTGTGTGTTTGTTTGCTTTCGCAATTTTCGCTTGAAGCATTTGCAGGTACTCGCAAAATGTGCGCTTCGGCATAACATTGTACGCGCTATGAACAGTACAAGCAGAAAGGACGAGCTCGCAAAGGAACCCAAGATGGAAGCTTTGCGGTTCAACTTACTTGATTGCGCAGATTCAGTTCTATCCAACTCGAAATTGTACTGTTTTGTTTGGTTGACTATAGTGTAGCAGGGCAGGCACTATAGGGGTACAATTTAGGTGAAGGTTGGATGTTGTTTGTCTGTATCTGCATGCTACAGGGCCAGGGGAAAC